CTGCCTGTGTCATTCCCCGTAAGGGCACAGCTGCAGACCAGCTTCAGCTGCACTGGCTTAGAAACCTTGAAATGTGGGTCAAGATCGGGCTTGTTATTATCATGGTTGTTATTTTTGACCCCCTTCTGCAGGGAGGGGGAGGGTCATGGAGACTGCAGGCTTTGGACACAAGAGCAAGTTAGCAGATGGTGGCACTCGCAAACTGCAAACAGAGTGTATGGGGTGAGGTGGGTGGCTGTCTGGGTCCCCGTGTGCACTCCTCCCCAGCTCGACGACAGATCTTTGTGCCAGGACAGCTGTGGAAGAATTTACCTCTGTTGTTTCGGGGCAACCGCAGTGGAAGTAGGAAGAGAGGCCCAGAAAAATCTGAGGATGCAAATGATGTGTTGGTTTTTTGTGTGAAAGCTATCTCTGAGGTACCCTGCCACACTTTATGGTCAGTCTTGTATTCCTGAAAGAGAAAAGGGCTGGGCTTGCTGTTTCTTCTTTTGTAGTCTTCTGTTGTGTTCCAGTTCCAAACAAAGTTCTAAGCATGTAATGAGGCTTAGTTAATGTTTGCCAAAGCCAACCATGAAAGAAAACCAAAAGCACTTAAGGGGCTTCAAGCCCATTGGGAAAATGGCCTTTGGTTTGACGGCCCTAGGGGTTCGTTGAGGTAGTCATACATCCTCGACAACAAAACACCTGAAGTAAGTGGGGGGCAGAGGTGTTTTAGGTTTCAGTTTCAGAGGCTTCAGTCCATAGTTCTTGCCTTCATAGATTCTCCGTCTGTAGAGAGACAAAACCACCATGGCTGGGGAAGCATTCGTCAGAGGGTACCCTTCTCAAGGGGGAGAGAGGGGTGGTGAGGGCTAGAACCAGGTGGAACCTCAAAAGCAAGTACTCAGAGACTCACTTTCTCCAACTAAGTCGTACTCCTTAAGGCTTCTCCCAAGCAAGCAGTACCATCATTTGGGGACCAAGTGTTCAAAACAGGAGCCTATGAGGTGGGGGGGGGGGGATCTCAGTTTCAAAGCACAGCCTGGGTGTTGCCTGGAACCGAGTGCAGAGGCTGCTCTGGAGAGCTCCACAGAGGAGCTGAGGTGGAAATGGAGTGATCCAGAGCCAGAGTCTGTAAGGTCTCCGTGCTGATGTAGGGAAAGTAGGCAGCTAGAGAGATGGAAGTAAGAACGCTTTTCCCAAATCCAAGTCTACTTGGAAATACAGTCTGGAGACCAGCATTGCTTTTCACTGAAAAATCAAATGGTATTGAAGCCCCTGTCTGGCAATGCTGCCAAATGCAAGGTCTCGAGGAAAAGAATATGGTTTCTAAGAATAGACTGAGGCTGGGCAGCTGGATGGAGAAGGCATTTTTCAGACTTCTCAGTATCATCATGTGAGCTTCGAGTGATGCAGAGATGGCAGGCAGGAACTGTGTTTCATTTGGAACTGACTCCTTCAAACTCTCCCTCAGCATGATTGCTTGCATTTCCTCAGCTACTTTAAAAGAGTGAGCTGCCTGCCGGGCGGTGGTGGCGCACGCCTCTAATCCCAGCACTCGGGAGGCAGAGGCAGGCGGATCTCTGTGAGTTCGAGACCAGCCTGGACTACCAAGTGAGTTCCAGGACAGCCTCCAAAGCCACAGGGTCTCATAGGAAGAGCAGCTTTCCTGCCTGGAGAATCTCACCAGACCCCATTCTCTAGTAGCAGGATGGTTCTGAAGCGTCTGGTCTTGCTTGGGAGAGAAGGGCTGGGTCAGCCCTGCCCACACTTCCGTGTCCAGTCCTGTGTTCCTTTTCCTTGGGCATATGCTCTGGGAACCCACCAAAGTCTCAGGAGGAATCTTGTTCCAGGGGTGTGCTCTTTGAGTTCAGGGGAATGAATGCAGCTTGTTTGGAAGATGTCACTCTCTTTTCTTCTGTGTTCAAGGGCTCTTCCTGCCCCCATGGTTTCATGGTCTCCTGCCTCCTGCATCTCATCTATTCATAACCTTAGCAGGGATGGATGTCTTACTTGCCCCAAGGGAGGAAGAACTGCTAGACAGATTGCTCTAGATACTGTTTCTCCTTTTGGGAACAACATTGCCCTCAAGCAGACTCTAACTGTTGTGCCGGCTCTCTGCTTTGGGTTGAGGGCTGACTCTCAAGGTTTATTCTCCCCTGCCTGGCTTGCAGGGAGCAGGAAGGGTTCCTCACACCCATCTTGTTCATGGCAAGGGAGCCAGGGGACGTTGTTGAGACCCGACTTTTTGCCCTTCTGAAGTTCCCCATTAATCTTGCACTTTTCTAAAAACTTGGAAACCTCGGGAGTCGGGAGATGGTTCATTGTGTCAGGGCACTGTTGTATAAGTGTGCAGACCTGAATTCAAACCCCCAGGACCCATGCATGTAAAAAGTCATGTGTAGCCATGCCTGGGCTTACTGACTGACTGCCAGCCCAGATCCAGGCTCAACAAGAGACCCTGTCTCAAGGGAGTAGGGTGGAGTAAGACGGAGTAGGACACCACCTGGCAACTTCCTCTGGTCTCCAGATGTACACCTACACACACACATTTGTATCACACACACAAATGCATGCACACACACACAAACATATATGAATGAATGCACACACTTACAAAGAAGGTGGTCTCCTGGGACGATTAAGATGGTAACTGCCAGCTCCAATCTAAAGATTCTGAACCAATCAGAGCTTTCTTTTTTTTCAATTTTTTTTATTTTAAATAGCTTGTTTTACATGTCAATCCCAGTTCCCTCTCCCTCCCCTCCTCCCGCACTCCCCTTCCCCCCCACCCTCCCACCCTATTGCCAAATCCTTCCACATAGGGGATATCAGAGTCTGTCATTTTACAGAGCTTTCTTCCTAACACCCAGAGACCATCCAATGTTCTCACAGGAAGAGGGTGTTGTCACTTGAGAGAGGCAGGCTCAGGAGAGAGCCTGGTCCTGGGGAGAACAGTCCGATGGCACTGCAAGCCTCCTGTATACTTGACACAAGCTTGTCTCCACCTTCCATCCTCAGCTGTCTAAAAGCTGCTCTAAGGGAATGCCCCACAAACAATTCTCAAATAGGGTTCAGCCTTCTTATGGTCTCAATGGGTGTTCACGTGGTCCTGCAGACTGCTTCGAATAGCTTGGGTGTGGTTCCTTGGCGATCCAGATGGTGCTGAATGGTTGATTCCAACTGCCCTGTCGTGGGGGCAGGACTGTAGCATCCATAAGCTTTGTCATCATCATGGTAGACATTTCTGTGGTATCCATGAGTTCAGCCTCCAGCATCAATTCACCAAACACCCTTCTTAAATATTCTCCTGTGCATTGTTCAAGTGGGACACAGAATAAGGCAACACCTCTGTCTTTTGAAATCTTCTGGGAGTTTAAAATCAGCCTGGAAGATGGATGGGAATTTTGGCAGAATGTCATTGGGTGTGATTACATGTGTGAAACAAGAAATATTGATCACAAAGAACACTTTCCCAAATGCTGACAGAGGGACAACCTAGGTCTGCAGGTGACTCGGTCATCTTCCCAGGCCGGGTGACTTTCAGAAGAGTTTTGTGAAGGGATATTGCTTTCCCTGAAGGGGAGAAGGAAGGTTAGTATTCTCAGGGGGTAAGATGAGAACACAAGCATACACCTGGGGTACTTCACTCCATCCTACTTTAAAAAGCTGAGTTGTAGGCGGGGAGGTGGCCCAGTGGATTAGGTGCTCGTGTTCAGGCATACAGACCTGAGTTTGGGTTCCTCTGAAAACTGTGCATGCTCTCTCTCTCTCTCTTTCTGTGTGTGTGTGTGTGTGTGCATGTGTGAACTTCATCTCTGAGAGAAGCTAAGACAGGAAGATTGTTGGCTGCCAGCTGAGCTGCAGGTTCAGTGAGAGACCCTGTCTCCAAGAAAATACAATGGGGAATAATAGAGGACATCAATATCCCCCTTGGGCCTCTGCGTGCACTCACCCATATGTGCATATGTGTGTGCATGTGTGTGTGCATGTATGTGTGTGTGCATACATGTGTGCATGCATGTGTGTGCATACATGTGTGCATGTATATATGCATGCATGTGTTCAAAGTACATGTGTGTGCATGTGTGTATGTGTGCATACAAGTGTACATGCATGTGTATATGCATGCATGTGTGTTCAAGTGCGTGTGTGTGTGTGTGTGTGTGTGTGTGTGCGCGTACATAAGCAGCCAGGATTTTGAAAGAAGTGGACGTTGTCCAATCCTGAATACATGAAAGGGACTAGAGAGACGGAAGCTGAGATCAGACTTTTCCATCTCTTGGCCAATCAACCACATGGTCCTATTAATTCCACCTTCCAAATGCAATGATGTAATTGGAAAGATGAGAATTTGACCAGGTCTCTGCTGTAGTGTATGAGCCCTCTCACTGGGCTCCTTCTGGTCTAGCTTCTCATCTTTCTACTTCCCCTAATCAAATACTTTCCCTCCCTCCAGTTTCTTCCAATCCTGTTCATTATTATTCTTATCACCATTGGGGCTCGCTTCCTCTACTTGGGCATTTTCCTCATGGCATTTCTCAGTGGTTGCTGTGATACGATAAAATGTCACATTTTGAGTGCTTGGTCCGCTAGTGGCACTCTTCTGGGAGGTAGTGGAGCCTTTAGGAGGTGGGTTTTGCCTGGTGGAGGGAGGCCCTCGGGCTGGGTCTTTGAAGCTTGTATCTGGCCTCTGTTTCTTGATGTGAACATTGTTGCTTAGTCCTGCCCCTGCCCCTGCCCCTGCTGCGTGTTCCCACCATGATGAACTGAAACTCTGGGAAACTGAGACCAGATAGGTCATTGCTCCTTCAAGTTGTTCCCTTCAGGTGTTGTGGTCAGAAGGAACAAACAACAGTCATTTCCCGATCCCCACCCCCACCCAGCACCCCGTGTCCCTGTCTAACTCTCGAGTATCCTTCGCTGCCGCCTTGCCCTCCTCTTTACACAAACCAAGCCGCAAGCGCGTCACGTGATGTCCTTAGGTCTTTGCACGTGGCGTTTCATCTCCTCCCAAAATTGCAGCATCGCGTCTGTGCAGCAAATCCCCATTCGTCCTTTACAGGCAGACTCTGGAACGCCTCTTGAGACCTTCCCCTTCAGAGCCAACCGCAGTTACTATGCATTTATTTTTATTTTGTTCCTCTTTCATTCCGCCCCTGTAACAAGCTCTTGGAACGATGCTCCTCGGATGGATACCAACCGCTTCAGGGTGAGAATCGCATTATTTCACAGCCTTATCCCCCCAGTACAGCACGGGGCTGGAGGGACTATGGATCGAAATAGACTAAGTCAAGTTTTGCAGGGTGCCTCGCCTCTCTGAGGGTGGGGTTGGGCATGGTTTATTCTGCAAATTCCAAGAGAAGCTACAGTTGAGGACTGTTGGGCTTGCGATGACAATGGACCCCCTGTTTCATGTCCCTTTGTTTAGCAAAACCTACTATTCCTCTGGCCTCGTTCTGACCACCTGTATATTGGCAGTTCTGAACTAGAAGATGTCTACTAAGGTCCATTTCAGATTATTGACTGTCCTCCAAATGCTACAATGCTTTCCAACTTTGGATAAGGGGAGTTACACCACGCTACCTCTTCACAGGGGGGAGAAGTGTGCTGTTCTTCTTGGGACTCCTTCTCCTTTCTTCCTTTCCCACAAGGGTGGGGACTTCCTGCAGGCCATCCTTGCAGAACTAGTCGCTGGCAGCCTCTGGGATGAGAGACACAAGACTTCACAGGACTGAGCTGGCGATATTGGGTCTGTTTCAGGTCCCTGGAGATGATTTCTTTTAGCTATTTCAGGAATGAATGGTTTGTCCATATTGCATTTGCTTTTCAAAATATCATGCTGCCCGTTTGAGAGCACGTGTAGGGATATAGCATTCAAGTGTCAACACTCACTTTGTGGGAAAAAAAACCCAGCAACGAACAATAGCAACAGCAAAAAAAACAAATATAAACAGTGCTTCTCATGCACTTTTCTGGCTGACCTGCTGGAGTGGGAGTCTCATGGGTTCCCTGTTGGGTGTGGGGAGATTACCTAGTGCTTAGTCATTGAAGACATAAGCCTGTTGTCAAAGGCGACACAGTATGTTTCAGTCACAGGTGAGCCCTTGTCCCACAGGACAGAGTAAGGGCAGGACCCATGATGTCTCCCTCTCCATTTGAAATAAATCGTGCCAGCCTGTCTCTGCACTCAGCACGGATTTGGTGCCTTGCAAATGAAAGGAGCTCTGACTTGTGCAGATACGAGCCATTATCTTGCCATCTGCTGTCCTGGTTTCCATATAGGGATGATGAAATGCTAGGGTTTTCTTGAAAGCCTGGGAGCAGACGAGAACACCCTGCTTTGGGAGGCATTAAATTGGCTCTCTCGCTTTAAATGCCGTGGAATCCAGCCAGTTTCAGAGGTTCCTATTTCCCACTGTGTTGGGTGCTGCATGGTAATTAGGGGGACCAGCATGATCCCCTTCTCTTTCTCAGTTATCTGCCATGTGGGGAGATTTCTTTATCTCCTCTTCCTGTTGCATGGTAGATCCCTACCGATGCCAGGAATGGCTCCTCCTCCAAGACTTTCATTGAACTGGTCTAGAGTGGGTACAAGCTTTGAGAACCTTGCCAAGCTCCCGGGTGATTTTCTGTGCAGCCAGGGCTGTGAGCCACAGAGCAAGGCCTTATGCAGCTTAGACTGCCCTTATTTGAGGAAAATCATCCATAGAGACTCAGTCTTCTCTTATGAATCTGGTTTTCAAATCCAGCATTTATTGAACTGTTATGGGTAACATTATGTGGTGCCAAGATGCACATATCCAAACCTTTTCCATCTAGAAATTATAATATACTTTTTGCTTTTGTGATAGATCATCGCTATATAACTCAGGATAGCCCTGAACTCTGTGTGTGTGTGTGTGTGTGTGTGTGTGTGTGTGTGTGTGTGTGTGTGTGTGTGGCTTTTTGAGACAGGGTTTCTCGGTGTAACCCTGCCTGATTGTCCTAGAACTAACTCTGTAGATCAGACTGGCCTTGAACTCAGAGATCCTCCTGCCTCTGCCTCCCAAGTGCTGGGATTAAAGACATGTGCCACCACCGCCTAGCAGGCTTGAACTCTCATTCCTTCTGCTTCAGCCTTCAAAGTGCTAGATTATAGGTATATATTACCACACACAGATTTAGTTAGTTTTTAAAAACTAGCATTGGATTTTGTTCTCAAAAACCAACCAAACTAAACAACAGCAATATCCCGCTTCAATCAAATTAGAACACCCCCCTCAGTAACTGTTTGGTGAGACTGCTTTAATAGTTACTACAATTTGTACCTTAAAGTGTCCCTAAAGGCTCTTGTGTTAAAAGCTCAGTCCCTACTTGGCACTTTTTGGGGATGATGGAGAGAGGTGGGACCTGGTGGGAGCTCTTCAGGTCCCTGGGACATGTCCTTGATCTCGATAGTGGGACCCTAGTCTCCTTCACTTCCTGGCCACAATGTGATTGGTTTGCTCTGTTACAAACTCCATCTCCCCATGGACCAGAACCCCCAACACTGTGATCCATAATGAGTCTTTTTCTTCATAAGTTGGTTGTTCAGGGCATTTGTCACGGTAATGGAAAGCTATCTAGCACTGTGTTAAAATGCAAACTCTTTCTGCTCAAGAAACTCCACTGTGGGAATTCATCCTGAAGATAATAGTGTGCACACAAAGGATGCCAGCAGAACATTGCTTTTCTCTTGGAAATGCTGGAAACTAGTAAAACACTGACACAAATGTATCTCAGAACACTACATATGATTTAAAATACAGGGCAATTGCTTTTTAAACAGATGTGGAGAAGCGTTCACAAAACACTAAGGAGAAAAAAAATCAGATCATCAATAGGTACAGTCTGACCGCATTTTGAACTAAAAGGGTTCTTCTGTCCTTATAGAGGGGAGAGAAATCCCTGACTGGGAAGCGTGCCAGCGTTGACACAGTCTGGACCAGGGAGCACAGTAACTTTACAGCTTTGCTTTGCCTGAGGAAGAAGCTATTAAAGGAGGTTCTGGATGACTCTTGAAGGCTGGCCAGTTTTCGGACTCAGAGAAATTTCCAGGGAGAGTCAAATTAGAAACAGTTGATGTAGCTGAATCAGGAAGAACTGGGAGCTCTCAGGGTCGCAACATTGTTCTTGCTGGATTGCAGGTGGCTCACCCAGCTCTCCTGTGCTGAGGTGTGGCCACAGGCTGCCTTGAGATGTGGAGAAGGACTGCTGCATGAAGCGTGGCTGTGGGATTTCCCACAGAAAGGCTTCAGGATGGAGAGGGAGGCAGGGAGGCTGGGAGCCTCATCTTGAGGGTGGAAATACTCCATTCCTTCAAGTTCTCTTTTTATTTTTTTTTATTTTTTATTTTGGTTTTTCGAGACAGGGTTTCTCTGTGGCTTTGGAAGCTGTCCTGGAACTCACTTTGTAGACCAGGCTGGCCTCGAACTCACAGAGATCCGCCTGCCTCTGCCTCCCGAGTGCTGGGATTAAAGGCGTGCGCCACAAACGCCCGGCTCAAGTTCTCTTTTTAAATAGCAAAACTTTACATTTTATGTGAGGCTTAGAAAGACTAGTTATGTATGTTGAAGGCTGTGCCTCACCAGTGATAAGGGAACAATGGAAGGGAGGTTCAATTGGAGAGAGAGATGAGAGATTGGGTGGGAGGCTGGGGAGGACCATTAACACTAAGGATGTGTGAAAAATCTGTGTGAAAACTGTGTTCTATAGGCTTCCTGCAAATATATGTGCATACATTTTTCCTGAAAATTTAAATAAACAAATGAGTTTAATTTGAGTTACCCTGCACAGGGGATAATGCATCTCCCAGAAATCATAGGTTACCAAATAAAAAGTTCAGGGCCAGGAATGGGATACCTTGTCCTAAGCTTTTGGTCAAGGGTATCCCAGAGACCCACAAAATAATGCAAGCTATTGACATTGCTCTTGGTTGGTAGAGAACTTACCAGAACTTGATGGTAAGATCTTATTGTTTATTATTTTGGTCACAAGACATGGAAAAATCAAGTTGGTACTGATCAAGACGCATCCTTCCCATTGCCTAGTTTTCACAGTACTGGAAAGTGTGCAGGCTGTTGAGGGAAAAATTCATTAGCAGTTTTATCCACCCATGAACCCTGTGAGCTACAATAAAGCCCCAAATGGCAAGACGTGCTCAGGGGTGCAATAGTGGCATTGATGTTATTGTGGTATTAACTGCCACCCACTGGAGTCAGTTCCTTCTTTGTATGATGTGGGTTGAGTTCATGCTGCCATGTGACTGTCACTAGCAAACAGGAAGCTTTGTGGCCACTCTACCTGCTTATGACCTGTTGACTATTATCATCCGACCTAGACTTTGTCCCCAGGGACTAGCTGGCTCTTCTCTGAGCCTCTTACCTCACTTTGCTTGGACTTAAGATCTGTAGTCAGCTAGTCTGGCACAGGTCTTGGAGGAGCACCCTCTCCTTCCTAGTGAGCAGGGGTTCCATGGCTCTTGGCTTCTCTGTTGACCTGGAATGCCCTTTTCATGCCACTCAGCCAAGAGAGGTTCTCAAGACTCAGCCTAAAAGTCCTGCTGTCAGAGAGATGCTTTCCAGCATCCCAGGAAGAATTAGCTGTGCCTTTCCCTGTGCCTTCCTGGTACTCTATGTGCTCCTGGGAAGCTGCCCGCATCACATTATTGGCTTGCACATCCCTCCTCCCTTGGGGTCAGGGGCTTTATCTCAGTAGACCTGTGGCTGTGCCAGATGTTCAGGGAGTGCTTCCTAAACGTTTGTGCAACAAAGGATCTCTAACTTCCACTTGGCCTCAGGTTTACATTCTGGCTTCTAAATGCTGGTTACCCTAGGTGATACCAGCTGCAAATAGTACCATTAGTAGCAGGAGAGACTTTAGAAATATTCGAATCCCATTAAGGCATGGTTCTTCCTCCCTGTGCTATGCCACAAGACCTCTTAGGTGTATTCGCAGCCTGTGGATCGCAGTCCTCTGATTAGTTTATATGCTGCTCACTTTGACATTTCTGGTCAATATCACCTGACCCTAGCAATTAGCTTTCTTAGGGTTGTGCCCTCTAAGTAGTATCCCCAGATGGTAATTATCACAAACCCCTTGGCAACTTATTACTAACTACAAACAGGAGGAAGTATTTTAATATATGCATAATTATGTATCCTTAAGATCAAAGGCCTGATCCTTATAGAT